CTCTCCTATTAAGGTCCAGAGGTAAGTAGTCCAGGGCTAGAATGAAGGTTCTACTACATGAAGTCCTCAGGAACCTAGGCTCCTTTTGTCCACTTCCTCCACTCTGCATGAACTCCTTCTTAAAAGAATGTGCACCCCTATGTTCATCGCAGCATTATTCACAATAGGCAAGACTTGGAAGCAACCTAGGTGCCCATCAAGGGACGAATGGATAAAGAAGATTCAGTATATATACACAACAGAATACTACTCAACCATAAGAAACAATGAAATCTGGCCATTTGTGACAACATGGATGGACCTTGAGGGTATTATGCTAAGTGAAATACGTCAGAGGGAGAAAGTTAAGGCTCGTTTGATGTCACTCATAAGTAGAAGATAAAAACAACAACAAACAAACACATAGCAACAGAGATTGGATTGGTGGTTACCAGAGGGGAAGGGGGGAGGGGTAAGCGTGAAAGGGGTGATGAGGCACATGCGTGTGGTGATGAATTATAATTAGTCTCTGGGAGGTGAACATGATGTAATCTACACAGAATTTGAAATATATTATGATGTACACCTGAAAGTTATATAATGTTATAAACCAATGTCACCGCAAAAAATAAGTACATAAATATTTTTTAAAAAGGACATGTAAGTAGTCGAAAATGGCTGCTCCAACCATGCTCACAATCCAGCAGTATGGAGGATAGGATAAAAAAGGACACATCCTTTCCTTTTAAGGTCACTTTCTAGAAATAGCATACAACACTCTACGTAGGTCCCATTCGCCAAGACTCAGTTACATGACCCCATCTAGTTGAAAAGGAGGCTGGGAAATATCTTTATTCTGGGTGTGCATGTGGCCAGCTAACATCTGGAAGTTCTATTATTTTAAAACGTAGGGGATGATGATATTGGAGGATAATTAGCAGTCTCTACCACCCCAACTCAAAGAGGATTTAGTCTATCAGGTCACAAGAAGTACCCAAGAGTAGGGCAGGCAGGCGATCAGCAAACTGTGGCAGGACTCCAGCTTCTCTTCTCTGAGACTGCTTCAGCCTGGCGGTGTTCTAAGTGTTGGCTATGTCTTCAAGCTAGTGCCCCTCCTGCTCAGCAAGACGAAAACAACGGTTCTAGGCATCACCAGATGCTACAAAGTCCAAAAGAAGAAGGGAAGAAAGGATGTATCTCTTCCCTTTGTCTCCTCTTTAAAGGGAAGAAAACTTCCTTAGAAGCAGCCAGCAAACTTCCCTTCAGCTTCACTGACCCCATCGCGCCACAATCCCATGTCTTGTATAATCACTGGCAAGGAGAACACACCCCCATGACAGGCGTGGACCAATAAGCACCCACTCCTCAGAAGCCATAAGTAGGGCTAGCCTCTCTCAAACAGAGGGCTACACGGAGGAGGTTCAATACCTGAACAAAACTGGGGTTCTGCTATAAAAGCGGAATGGGGAAAGGATGCTGGGTTGGCATCCAACAGTGTCTACCACATTCTATATTCCTAACTTTGCATTACAATATACTGCCATTACTAGCCAGGTAAGTTGGACTCTAAGGTTACACTGTCATAATTATCCAGATAAATCAGACCAGTTCTTATGTCCATTTCCTACCAATAAATTATGAGTGAAGAATAAGCCACTGTGTAGACGAGTACTAACATCTAGATCGAGTCAACTGCAAACACGCCCAGCTCTCCCTGTCTTCCACTCCCCTTGTCTGTGGAGACTTCACTCCAGACACTATCACCATAAATTTCATATACAGCCACCTAATTTAACCCTTATGATATAAATATGAGAAAATTCCCCTAAGAGAAATACATGTTGTTTTTAAGCTGAAACTCTTTTCTTACCTTATAAGCATCAGATCACTGATGAGCATTTTGGAGGAAGCCACTGGGCCCTTTGGAGATTAAATGGTGACTGACTATGCAACAGCAAGTCAGGAAAAGAACAGTTTTCCTAACTTCTTTGTGCTGCTCCGAGGCCTAGAGGCATCTACCAGCCCCACCCAGGACCTGTGTACCCCGCAGTTCTCAGTGGCACCTTGATTTTTCAGGACTTTTCTGACCCTCCAAAGGACTAATGTGGGAGAGTTTTCAGGTTTTTCTCCTGACTCATTAACAATTCAATGGTAACTTAAAAAAGGAAACAAAATTATTGCTTGAACATGAAAACACTGGTTTTTGAAGCAATAGTTCACTTTTAGGCATACTCAAAATTTAAAAAGAAAAAGAAAACAAGGCATAAAAAAGAGAAAAGTACCCTAAATTGACCCCTGACGCCTGGATTAGATGAGCTTTCCTTCTCACTGAAGGAAGACCCTTTTAGTTAGGAGCTAAAAGCATCACTAAAAGCTAATTCATGACATCACCCATGGGATTGCAAGTTGGTCTCAGTATTATTTATTAATAGAAACATCTTATCAAGGGAAGTAACTGAAAGTCTTCAGAAACAATCCTAACAATTTATTCTGTTGCAAGAAATATGAGTGTGGTAGTAATTTTGAAAACTAACATCGTTAGAAATGAAGCAATTCCTTAATACCTTTGATTCCCTTTACCTAGAGATTTACTAAATCCTAAGAAATATTGTACTTTCGAAACATCCATGAGACGAAGACCACCATTAACACAAAGTTTTGAGGCACACGAACTGAACAGCAGCTGTTAAATAATTTGTCTAAAAGTAAAGGCTGATTCAGAGTCATTAGCGTACTAGAAATGCAGCTGCTTATAACACATACAAGATTAAGTTAACAAAACTCACTCCAAATATACAGACTAGTTATCCTCCATATGTTAGCAAAGTTTATCAAGCTTGAAAGAAAGTCATTGTCTCAGCTACAGGAGCTTTCAAATCTATAATATTTCACTGGCAGCTACTTTATGAGAAACAGGTCATAAAACTGTATTTAAACTTTACTGCCATGCTTTCAATTGTTCTGCTTACAATGAGATCAAAGTTTGAGAATCTTTATGAGCTAAAGGATGGGCAAAGTGGTAAAGATAGGGTTATGATTTTTTTCAGGGATCTGGGGCTTCAAAACCATCAGGAAATCACAGTCCCATGACCTTCATTTGCTCATGCACCAACAATTCACAACACCATGCATTTTTCCAAGGCTCTTCGCTCTTTTGGCAAGACTAGTATTCTCAAGTGAGGCAACGTCTCATTTTCTCCGGAGGTGTTCTAACTTTAACTCTTCTCTTCCCTCCGCCGCTACATACCTTGAAAGTGCCCTCCCAAACAAAAAAAAAAGGAGATAAAATAGAACAAGACTAGAGGAGGCAATGACGGCCACACAATCTGCTATAGTTTTATTCACTCAGAACACATTCATTGCAAGTCCTTCCTGTGCACAAGCCAGCTTACACTTTTGTACGTGTAATAGTTTAATTTCAGAATTAAACACATTTTCTTATTACATGAGTACAATACGTGCATCAGCACCAACAACGGTCATGACCACAACGTCTTCTTCAAGCAAGTTAATCCCTCACATTGCTGGACTGGCAATGATGACTGTAGATGGCCGTGCTTCAATTTTAGGTGTTTCTAAACTTCTCAGTGACATAACGTCTTATAAAATAAATGCCATAAATATATTTTGCTAATAACTAAATGCAAGCCCCTTCTCACTATGTTCTACTATGTTACTCTTTCAGTCCCCTAAACACTGGTGGGGAAAAAAAACAAGCAAACAGCCAAACTTGTAAGTGAAGGCAGGCTTAGTTTAGCTCTTTCACTAACGTAAATAAGTCATCCATCTTTTTCCCATTTTAAATAAACAACATACTTGACCAAGATTTATCCCCTGACGGTAGGAGTTGTTGATGATCTTCTGCCTCAGAAAGAACCAGAGAAAGCATCTGGGAAATCAATCACATTGCTCTCAAGTGCCCTGATTTGATATCCTTTCTAAATGGTTTTAAATGTTGTGGTGACCGAAAACAAATAAGGAATAAGGACACTAAATAAATGCTTTCCTCTTAGGAAAGAGGTATCAGGAAGAACCTAACCGTTTCTTTACAGAATTAGGATAAAACCTAGAGTTTAATACCTAGTTTAGAAGGTATTTCTGAAGCCAGAAAAACACTGAATTCACAAGATAACCAAACGTTAGGTAGTGGATGTGGGCAAGGTTTGCGGGGGAGGGAAGGGGAGAGGCCAAATGTGCTCAAGAGATGGAGTCATGATTTCCTGCAGTTTCAGTTCAGTTTGGTTTTTGTTTTCTTCTGCCTCACACTCTTTACTGAGTCACTATATTTCTGAAAGTCTCCCCAAATGAGTTTCTCCCCGTCTATCACTTTAGCAACTGTTACAAAACATGCCCGTGTTCCTCTTCTGCTTTCCCCCCTCTCCGGGAAGGGAAGGGAACCGAACCACCTGGGAGCGTAACGAACACTGCCCTTTGTGCCTCTGATGAAATCACCCCACCAGTGATATTATGAAGTTCAAGTGAAGCTGTGGCCGACGCCGCGTTTTACAAAACCAGGCCAACATGACCAGAAGGGAAATTCTGCCTTACAGGCAGGGAATCCCCGGGGAAATCTCTAGAATCGAGGGATATCCCCGCAGTTCTCTTTGCGGCTAGATCAGGCAGGGCTCGGCACTAAGTCCAGCGCCAGGTATAGGAGGGCGAGGTGTTCTGGGCCGGGGGCCCGAGCAGACACGGAAGGCGGGCGGAGCGGAGGCACCGAGCTCGGCCCCCACCCCGCAGCCTGCACCTGCCTCTGCAACCGTCCAGCCGCGCTTCCCAGAGCATCCCGGCTCGAGCGCAGCCCCACTCCAGCAGGCGCGAAACCTGCCCGGCGAGGCGCCCTGCGCCCTGTGATCGGCGCGCCCGCGGCGGGGGGTGCGGGCCGTGGAGCGCGGGGTGCTGGGGGGCGCAGCGGGCACGCACTCGGGACGCCCCCTCGGAGGCCAGGGCCGGGGCGGCCAGCCTGGCCCACAGGTCCCGGCGGTTTTGCAGACCCCGGGGCGGCGGACGGGCGGGCGTACCTCGGATGTAGGCGCACTTGCCCTCGTCCAGCTGGCTGGAGACGGCGCCGCCCATGGCGACGGTGCCGGCGGATGCTGAGCGCGGCGGCTGCCCGACTGGCACCCCGGGAGGGACTGACAGCTCCCGTCGGTGCCCGCTGCTCGCTCCTGGCGGTTGGTGCGTCGGAGAACTGGGCTCCGAAATTAAAAGGCAAACTTCCTCCGAGAGGCGCCGCCTTCTGGGCGCCTCCTCCGGGTCCGCGCCCTCTGAGGATCTGAGGGCTGGCCCGGAGGCCGTCTTCCCGCCCTCGCTCCACTCGTGAGCTCCGAGGGATGTCTAGTCTGGAAGGACTTCCCGCTCCTGCTCTTGGCCGGCTTTTGCTGCTTATTTTCACCGGTTTAGGGCAGCCGAGAAACACCTTGGAGTAAGTGGACAATTTCCCTGGTCACTGGAAACCTCTGGGAGCTGGAACCTTCCCCACTCACATCCCATGAGGCAGAGTTCAAGATCCCATCACCTTGCACGCCCTCCGGTACAAGAAGCGACAGTTCTTCTCCAGCATCACCTAAGAACTTGTTAGAAATGAAAAATTTCAGCTCCCTCCCTCTCTATCCCTCTATACACACACACACAATGTGCCCCAATTAGACGCTCTGGCATTGAGGCCCAGCAATCTGTGTTTTCACAGATGCACCAGGTAATTCTGACGCCTGCTGAAGTTTGAGAACCAATGATAAACTGTCCCTTCCTGTAGCTAAGAAGTTGGACCAAGGAGAGGGTGAGGAATGATGGAAAAAAAGAAAAAGAGAAATCGGTAACCTTAGAGAAAACCTAAAGCTGGGTCCTACAATATGCTTCAGCCCTGAAACTTCTTAAGACTTGATCAAAGTCTGTTCTTACGCGCTTAGATTTGTTTCCTCTCCTTGACAATCTGGAAATAGTTCATTGAAAAAGGCATTTGTTCTTTTCCCACAACCTCTGTTTAGCTTGGCGGCCTCTCCCAAACAAGAACCAGCTTGGGCAGAAGGGTCGTGTTTTCATTTCTTCCTATTCTTAGTCGTCGGACTTGTTGTGACTCCTGTTGACTTAACCTCCAAGGTCAAAAGGTCCATACCCACAAGAACGAGGCCGAGGAGGACGTTGACGGCTTTTGTCTCCAGAGGTAATTAGCTAGCATTTTAACACGAAGACTTCTCACACCTCACACACAATCTCTCACACCCCACATTCCAATCTTTCAGTAAATCCTCTCAATTCTACTTTCAAAATATATCCAATATCCAACCATGTCTCATCCCTTCCATGGCTCTCACCCTCGTCATTTCTCACCTGGATAATTATGACAGCCTCCGAACTGGTCTCCCTCCTTCCGAGAAAAAGCCACCAAATCTATCACTGACACTAGACCTGGCTTCCTCTCTGCCCTTATCTACCAGCACTCTCCCCCTTGTTCTCTCTGTTCCAGCCCCACTGGCCTTTTTCCTTTTCTAGGACACACCAAGCTCAGGGCCTTTGCATGTGCTCTTCCTTCCATAGGATGCTCTTCCCTCAGATATTCGCATGGTTCACTCTCTAAGTCTCTCACATCATTCAAATCTCCATTTAAATGCTAACACCTCAGAGAGGCTTTTCTTGACACCCCCCCAGCACCCCCTCCCCGCATTTAAACACCCACCCTCCTCTCTCCCTGCCCCTTGCCCTTCATTATTTCTATTCATATCACTTAGCGTCATCTCACATATACTTCTTTGTCTGTCTCTCCCCACAGAGATGGAGACTCCATAAGGTCGAGGATATTCTTTGTTGATGTTGTTTCTTGTTTGTTTAGTTTTTTAAAAGCATTTCTTTTCTTTTTTATTACTATTTTTTTTAAGGGCAGAGATTCTTGTCTGTTATATTCTCTGATGTATCTCAAATGTCTATAACAGCACCTGGCATATAGTAGGTATTCAGTAGATAATCATACAATAAGTAAGTGCATGGAATATAAAATATAAGAATCTAGACTCAATGGAAGCTGTGATCTCAATGAATAAAGAGCATTTCCAGATAACTCCTCAATGATTTAAACTATTCAATGTTCAGTTCTTTTCTCAATATTCTAGTCAGCTCTTAGAATTAAGTATATCTTCTCAGAGTAGTAATTCTTTTCATTATATAAATTGCTATAATCGCACCTCAGAATACTGTTATTGTTATTGAAGAAAACTAATTTGGATTTCCTACCAGAGTATAGTTTTAGCTTGTCACCTCTTGTTTGGGAACACTCTGAGAAAAGACTGATTATTCTGATCTGTCATTCTTTGCTCATTTGTAGCATTCACAGATGGGACAAGGACAGATTTGTATGATATAGTACTAACAAGCTTTGTAACCCCAAAGTTCCAGCTTCGAATCCTAACCTGATAACTTAATAGCCATGTGACTTGGTTAAGTTGCTTAACTTACCTGTCTCAGTCTCCTTATCTGTTAAATGGAGCCAATAACACCTCATGGGCTGTTGTCAAAATTAAATTTGATCAGGTCTGTGAAGCACTTAACTTATTCCCAGGAATATCATAAGTTTCAGTAAATGGAAGCTAGAATTGTTATTATCAGGAAGGACAAGAGTGATCAAGGAAGCAATTTTCTAGAGAAAGTGAAATTTTTAATTGGACCTTGAAAATCATTCATGTTACATTAAGAAAGAACTTCTGTTCCCTTTTTTTCCCCAAACACAAATAAAGCTCTTTTTCCCCAATTGGTTTACAGGAAAAATTAAGGAATTCATTATTTTAGGCATAGTATTTAATATTTGCAAATCCTATGTGGGCATCATTTTATTAATCACACACTAAAAATGAGTCTCCAAGCAATTCCATAATTTTATGAACCAGATTCACGTGCATATGACTCACATCTGCTAGTTTAGAAAATTTTCTATGCAATGTTAGTTTTTGTAATGTATCAGTATATTTTGTATCAAAATACTCTTAAGACCATTTCTTTCAGGTAAATATCTCACATTAAAAATAAGACTTTTTTGACATCTTAATTGAGATATAATTCACATACTGTGAAATTCACCCCTTTAGATTACCTTGTTTTAAAGGAGCAAATTAGTTTAATAGACATTTATTACCTTTCAAATGTGCCTGTGTTTGGGATTCCCTTGCATGTCATAGAACTATGAACTCCTTGTCTGCCGTGTTCTCATTTGAGTTAGTGACATCTGTCTGTTTGGGCATTTAACTGCCTGCAGAGCAGAGACAATCCTATTCCCCAAGTACCTTGCACTGAGGTAGACACTATTATTATCACCATCTTACAGATGAAGAAACCAAGATTAAGAAGTTTAAGGAACTTATATACACCTGGGTTTATCTGACTTCAGAGTTTATCCTCTTAACAATGATACTACTTCTTTTATCTTAAATCTTGCCTTTGTTTACTTACATAAGTAATCCAGGTATTACTATAGAAAAATTAGAAACTATTGATAAACAGAAAGAAAAAAAGGGGGCAAATCTCAACATCAATATCTTTATATAATCCCAGTTATCAGTTTGGTATAGATTCCTGTAGATTTGCCTATAAATATATATACAATTATAATTTATAATTCTATATAAGCTTATTTATAATTACTTATTTACCAAAATGAGATGATGCTTGATATACATTCTGTAATCTGAATCATAATTTTTCATTTGGAATATTTCCATCTAAATAAATATCTAGATCTAGGTCAATGATAGTTCATTGTATAGATGTAACTTAATTGACCTATCTACCAGAAATGTTTGCATGCCTGTGTCCCTTCTCCTCAATCGCAATGGACATTTTCATAGCTTTTATCACTTTTTTATTATTATCATCATTATTTTCCTTATTCCTTTTAATATTTGGCAATTTGGGAGTCAAAGGAGATATCACATTCTATGTTCAATTTTGAAATTCTTAATGAGAAGGATTATTTTTTCCGTGGACTTTTTGGACATACATGTTCCTTTGTGAATTGGTTATTCTTATATTTTTCCATTTTTGTATTGATGTCTTATTCTTATGGATTTTGAAAGAGCTCTATATATATTAAAGACATTGGCCCATTTACTGTAACACACATTGCAAATTAAACACATTTTGCTTATTAAAACGTATTTCCCTATGTTCTTCTTTCAATAATCTTCCTTGAAGATTGGGCTAACCATAGGCAACTTGTAAAATCAATTAAATGTGTCTCTTTCTTTAACACTCCCTCCCCTCTTTCTTTAACACTCCCTTCCCCTCTTCTCTTTGTGCAATTTCTGAAGAATGCCTAACCTTATCAACAACATCTCTTATAAATTGTTGTACAAAGTAGGTTAGCTATTGAAAGTCATTTTATGAATTTTTTTTTCTTTAATGAAACTCCTTCACTAACTAGCAAAATTGTTGCAATAAACTATATGTTCTGTCTTTCTCAGGCATATAAACTTTAGAAGCTCCAGTCCTCATTCTGATACCGATTTGCTTCCTGATTTGGGGAAATAATTTAAGTTTTCTGAGCTTTGCATTCCTTGTCTTCAAAATGGGTATCTGTGATAATTAAGCAACACTGTATGTGTAATACACTTAATACATATTAATAGGCCTAGCACATATATAGCATTCTCTAAATGAAGCTAGCACAACAAGAAGTAACAAATGAAAATGTGATTTATTAACTGTTTAACTGTTTATTAACTATTTAACTGTTTATTAACTGTTTTATTAACATATCAGTGTAGGTCCTTTTCATTCTTATGCTTTGTGTAGTACCTTTGTTTTGTGACCAGAAAATCACACTTTCCAGGAGGCAGGACCCTAGGACCAATTTTGAAAGGGAAAAAATGTACCTAATGTATTTTAATTGTATATTTGATAGACATAGAAAGCTATTTTCATAATACAAACTATAGAAAACTAAGCTGGATACAATCTTTTCTAGAGAGAATATATAGAAGATAGAATCAACTTCTGCTCATCAAGAATTCTTGAGGGGAGGTTTCACGAGCTCTATGGGTGTGTGGAATCTTTATTAGAAAAAGACAGATTTTTTTTTAATTGAGAAACATTGCTTTTGCTCGATGTACTTTTCAAATAGGAACCATTGCAATTTTATATAGCTCTCTGGCATTGAGTAAGACCTTAGACACAGAGTAGAAGGCCAAGTATTTTAACAGAAATCAATGAAAGCTTAGAGCTAAGGGCGACAAACTCTAGAACCAAAGGAACATTTAGACATGTAGGTACCGATCTTTAAATCTAACAAAGACCAGACCAGCACAGTTGCCCTTATGAAAGCTATAACCATATTATTGCCACAGATAAAC